CGCTGCGCTGCCGGTGCGAACCAGTGACTGAGTGACCGCCTTCAACCCGTGCGACGTAAGTGCCGCGGAGTGCCAGTGTCTCGGACCCGTACAGTGTGTAGGGGCCCTAAGTGCGATATAAAACCGACGGTTTTGCGGTAATGTTGCACCTAATGGATTTGTGCAGTTTAAAAATAAATGCCGTGTAGTGTTGCCAAATGGGGGGCAGCGGGCGCCGCGCAGAAATAGACGAGCGCCTTGTATAGCGCGCGGGATTACGTTACCTCGCGGGAGCGCGCCGCTCGCCGTTCGCCGCCACACCTCTTGTGGACATGTCTGTTGCCTTACACGGTCAAAATGCAACTTTTCACATCCAAAACGCACTACACACTGTACACTGATATTTCAATATCCACAGAACACTAACAATATTATAACACCGACCAAATCCTAGGCTAAGTAATAAGTCTAAAACTAAACCTAAGTCTTATTTATAACTTAACTCACTTAATTCAAACTTGTTCAATACTGCTAAACTTTTGCTACAACACTAAAATAGGAATCCATTTGAATATTTGAGTAATAAATCATAATATTTGTTATTTTTTTTAAGTTTTAACTAACATTTCTTAAAATCTAAAATGGAATTCCCTATCAACTCTTGTTGCCGGGTTGCCACATTAAAGATAAAAATTGTGAATTGTCAAAGCAGTAACTTCAAACTTGTCTGGCTGGTTTTGTAAATAATATTTTCTATATATTTTTTGTAACATTTTTCTCGTAAAATAATGGAAACAGTTAGCTATGGTTTTTAAATACTCAATTTGTAAACTGACAATTTACGTGGCAGATTTTTTCTCAACTTTCAGTTTTTTTTTCAATTTTAAGCTTAAATAAATTACAGTTTCACTGTTAATAAATACATACAAAACACGTACTTTTTGTCTTGTTGATCAACACGTGTCTAAAGTTACTCATACTTATTTAATAAATTAAGCAGTTACTCAGTTGACCTTGAAAATAATTTCTTAAACATTTCGAGATATGGCAAACAGAATAGTAAAATCGAGCGAATGTTTAGTCTTAGATCTTAAATTACAGCCAACCTTAAGTTCTTCATAAGTCAAGAAAGGTTAAAATAATATACATTAATTACAAAAAAAGTACAAACATTTTGTCCAGAAGAAATCTTAATATACTATCAACCTATTAAGTTAGGGCATTTTCAAGATTTTTTTAATGCACTTGTTCAAACGGATAAAAATGAACAATGTCTATGGCCCGTCCATAACCGTTCATAGCCAATTTGAACCAAAGTCTAGATTTAAATGTTGCTAGGACAACTAAAGCATTCGGTATTAGAACTGTTGCCTTCGTGTTCGAAGCCAATTTTATATTTCTCTTGAAAGTTTGCCAGCTCGTCGGCCGTAGGTGTGCGAGATGGCGAGAAAGATAAAACCTCTAAAAATAAACCGGGTCTTCATAAACAATACGCGGGTTTCGCGCCATCTCGGCGACCGTTCTATTTTTTCAACAATTTGGCACGCGCGCCCATTGGGTAATACAGAGCCGCTCACCGTGATTACATCTGTAATTTTTTTTGTTTTAATGATGCATTACACGTGCAGTATTATGTTTACGTTGTTTACTTCGTGATATTGCAATCTATTAGTGATAAATGAATTCTTGAGTTTTTTTTTACGTTTGGATTTAAATAGACAATTTTATCTTAGGTATCTGATAAATAAATTCCAATGTTCACAAATTATCCTACAAATGTGACGAGGCATTTTAAGATTAAGTTAATTGAAAATTGCATAGCGTAGCACGTTTCAAAGACAAGATAGTGCACAACGGGATGACCTTGAAACGTCATATAAACTATTTCTTTACCTTATGAAAATATATATCAAGGACGATAAATTAGATGCATTTTAAAATGAAATCCAATACACTTACATGTCTTTTAACTTTCATAATCTTTGGCAGTATCGTTTAGAATAAAAAAGTTAAAGAAAACTAATTGTTCTTAAATTATTGTCTAGAACAATACACGCCTATTCTCTTGTTTGTCGCGTCTTCACATTCAGCAATGCTTCTCTTCTGTTTTTTTCTGTTACAACAATGTATGATATATTTCGTCTTGCATATTTAATTCAATGAATTATTATTATTCTGAATTAGCGCCAACTATTATCAAATGAAAGGCATTCTATAGTAACAACATCAAACATAATGTAGCGTGAACTGCCAAGACACAAATAGCCCAGTAATAGAGATGTAATGCAGTTGAATAGTTCACAATCACAGCATACAATTTGATGCATAGTTTTTCTATTGTATCAACAAATTGTAGGAAAAATCTTTATTTGTCACATCTTTTTTTTTTGTCGCGAGATTTGCAAGTTCTATTTAGATATGGCAACATAAGTAATGCAGGTTATTTAACTGTAGTTATAACAATCATTAGACAAACTTGAAACTAATGTAACAAACTTAGTCAATAACGGTTTATTTTTTTCACAGATTAAATAAATTACCAACATGTCTGACGAGGAGGAATATTCGTAAGTTTCCATCATTAATTACACATTTTATCTTACTTCTAATATTGAAAGTTTTATAATATCTCCCTTTTGATTTGCAGCTCGTAAATGTATAATTTGTGTGTTGCAGTGGCTCCGAGGAGGAGGAAGTAGAAGAAGAAGTTCCGGAGACGTAAGTATTGGCCGCCCCGCGCCCAGCGCCCCGAGCCCGGCCTTCTGCTGCCACCAAACTAGATCCTACTTTATACACCTGTACTGTTTGGGTTTGATCACTCTAGCTTATCAGGGCCTGGTATCTCTGCCTCGGCTAGTCTATCATCTTTTGTTTTATAAATCTATTAGTTCTACTTAGCTACAGATCCTTGAACTAGTTCCCGACTTAGTGGGAAGCCCTCGCACCGTGTACCTCCTTTCGAAACTTTTGCACGCCCTCACCGACCCCTCTTCTCTCTTTTGTTGCAGGAAGTAAGTGGCGTGCCCTTTTGGTTGATCCAGCACTAGCTCTCACTTCGCTCATTAGGCTAAGTCTAGCGCCAACCTAACGCTTTTAGTGCTTATGTCGCCGCCTCTATTGCTTACCGACGCACCACACACGGTAGGAGCTCGACCGCTGTCTATATGTGCTTCTGATGACTTGCATGACGCAGCGCAGCCGCGCTCGCTCACAAATGGTTCCAACTGCATCGGGAACTATCGACTGAGGACGCGAGAAGCCGCCACCCGGCGGTTCTTTACTCTCGTTCATTTTGTAATCTGTCTCTCGTTTGCCTTAACAAAGAAGTGCTTATTGTAAAGTGTCATTTCTTTGTTTATAAGGATTCAATTTCTAATCTGTGTTTTTTTTTTCTTTTATCTTCTTCCTGCGCCGTCGACGTGCCAACACGCAGGCCCGCTCCTAAACCAGAGTAAGTGTCCAGACGGTTTCTACTTTAGACTTAAGATGCTTCGCTTTTAGTCGATGGGTTCTTTTAATTCGATGTTACGCTACACACATATCGATGTGGAGATTGTGATTGGCAACTGAATGAATCTCACACGCACCGGCTGCGGCCGCATTTACTATTCAAAATTTCAATAAACCCTCACGATTGCTTGTAACGTTATGAAAGGGATGCGAATGCGCAAAATAATTGCTCTCACCGCTTACTTCTTTTCTATCTATAATGTTTTTAAGACGAATCTATGTAGCTAAGTACCTATATTCGACATTATTCATGTTCTATGTGATACATATGAACACACACCACAATATATTTCAACTAAGGATAAACGGAGTAAGTTTATGTTTATATTTGAAAATGTACTCGTATCTAATCTATAGACAACGTAGCTCGTGTTTTAACAATGAATAGTAACCATGTGGTAATATCAAAGTTTAGCTTAAAGGAATCCCAGAACTGAATCATGTCAAGATTCGTTCATTCGCATTAATGTCGACTGTAGATAGGTAGCTACCGGTAGTAAGATGTAGAGGCTGATTGTTATTTTCTGTTTCTAGGAGTAGACCATCGATCGCGTAAGTTGCACCGCTCTCTGTGGTGTCACTAACTATTAAACTATCATTTAACAAAACTAGGTTCGGGCGCACGCTCCTCGCGGATCTAAAATTCTACATCTATTCGCCTCCGAGCCGACGGACGAGGTCGTCAGCTACGGATTCTATTTCTGTCGGTCGGCAGTCGATCTATTTCCGAGGCGGTTTGCGCCCGCGCCGCTCGCAAAGTATCGAGATGTCGGTCAACGGGGACCGCGCTCGAGCTAGTCCCGATTGCGTCAATAATCGCATGGCGTCACAGCATGTTCCCGTAATACAATAATTAGTATTATAATGTTATGTCCGCCATGTCCTCGTCGTCCGTGTACACCGAGCGAGCCGCGCCGGAGCCCGCGGAGACTACCGGTGCGCTCGCCGTAATCGCTTTGGTGGAAGTTTGTCTAATACTCTATGTGGCGCGAAGCGACGTCACTCTGAATATACAAATTATATGTTATGTGTCAATGAATAATCCGTCCGCTGACATAACCGAGCTGATAGACGTGTTAACTTTGTATCCATGTATCGCCATAATAAAGCGTTGGATTCGAGGCTATATTTTGTTTAATTACACGAAACAGACAAATGTTAATGAAAGCTTAGCGATCGAGCGACTGTTTCTTAATTATCAATTAATATCCATTGTAACAGAAGCTATATTTGTATTGCGCCGGCGCTGCGTCGGCTCTAATCTAATTAACACAAGTAATCAAATATACTCTGAGATTAATTTGAGTTTCATTTTGCAGGGGTGAGGGAGATCCAGAATTCATCAAGGTAAGCTACAGTTGTTATCTCTGTAGCTACTAAGTGGGAGTTGTTCGTATACACCTGCATTTACTAAAGTGTAATGTGTAAAATAACAGCGTCAAGACCAGAAGCGGTCGGACTTGGACGAGCAGCTGAAGGAGTACATCAACGAATGGCGCAAGCAGCGGGCCAAGGAGGAGGACGAGCTCAAGCGCCTCAAAGAGAAGCAGGCTAAACGCAAGGTAACACCTAAAATATGCTAGATTCTGATATTAAAATTATTATCATTCACGCAAAATCTAACATAGACCATCTATTCATAGGTTTCTCGCGCTGAAGAAGAGAAGCGCCTCGCCCAGAAGAAGAAGGAGGAGGAGGAGAGGAGAGTCCGGGAGATCGAGGAGAAGAAACAGCGTGACATCGAGGAGAAGAGGCAGCGGCTCGAGGAGGCCGAGAAGAAGCGCCAGGCTATGCTTCAGGCCATGAAGGAGTCCAGCAAGACCGGACCCAACTTCACCATTCAAAAGAAGAGCGATAACGTAAGCTAATCTACTACACGAAAGATATTTCCTTTCATTCTTTTTGTATAAAGATTTCTATAATATGATTACATTGTAGAGTGTAAAATAAGCATAAAGTTGTATTTCAGTTCGGATTGAGCAGTGCTCAGCTGGAGCGCAACAAGACCAAGGAGCAGCTGGAGGAGGAGAAGAAGATCTCCCTCTCCATCCGTATCAAGGCGCTCAACATTGAGGGCCTGTCCGTGGACAAGCTGCGCCAGAAGGCCACCGAGCTCTGGGAGTGCATAGTCAAGCTCGAGACAGAGAAATACGACCTCGAGGAGAGGCAAAAGAGACAGGACTACGACGTAAGTACTATTACTTCTACTGTTATTGATGTCAACGACATTTTGGTTTGTGTTGAATGTTAATAGAAATCTTTGCTTGCAGTTAAAAGAGCTCAAAGAAAGACAAAAGCAGCAGCTGAGACACAAGGCCCTGAAGAAGGGTCTCGACCCCGAAGCACTCACAGGCAAGCACCCCGTAAGTTCACAAATGTTATAAGAAAATTGATTCACAAGTCTTTCTTGTCTTATATCTGGTCTTCGTTTGTCGTTCTCCCATCCAGCTCCTGAGTTAAACAGTATCTTGAAATTAAAGCTATTGTATTTTTTCTTCTAGCCCAAAATCCAGGTCGCATCCAAATATGAAAGGCGCGTCGACACACGGTCCTATGACGACAAAAAGAAACTATTCGAAGGTGTAAGTAGAAAATATGATTATTTCAAGTGGTATATGTTAAGACCGAATTGTCATCGTAGTTAATGGTAATAAAGATAAACTTGATGGAGGATATTTAAACGCAGGGTTACAGTACTATAGAAGCAGAGGTATTGGATAAGTTGTGGAAGGAGAAGATGGATCAGTGGGTGAACCGAAACAAATGTAAGCCGCGACTCGGCCATTTTGTGTGACTGACGCCTGCCGCCCGCCATCACCTTGCCATGACCTCGCCACGACCTCGGCATGACTTCGGCATGGACTTCGTCACGCCTGTCTTGACCCCACATACTGTCAATTACAATGCCCAACTAATTAAACATGCACACTGCCAAAAACATTTCAGAAACATTACTTTACAAGCCAAATATGAGCCATGACATACAGAAAGAACAAAGTAACTCATTCAATTTTGTACTATTCGCATGCAGTGCAGTTTGGCATTGCTGTAGCACTGTCCGCCCCGTATCGCCTGTTACCTGTATCGCCCCGAGCATTTGTAATGACCCTGTATGTTAACCATTCCCTAGGACCTAGAAAAACTGAACAAGGACTTCCTTGAGAAGATCTGGCACGAAAGGGCCGAGCAGTTCGGCGGCAGACAAAAGGGTAAGTAACCACTCTGCCGACGCGAAACGGACCTTATTCCTCTGTACATTAAATCCCATTTCATTCTTTCATGAGTTATTGATAAATGTAAATTTCCTCCCACATTTACTTACTTCTTGTATTCTATGTTTTTGTATGAAACCCCAATATTATTTCGTTTGTTTTATTCGATATTTAAGACACAAGATTATTTTTTATTATTAGCAAAATTAGATACT